TTCCTCTTTCCAGGTGTCTTGTCGCTGGTATCTGCATTCGTCGCATTCCTGGTTTTCTTTCGAGACTCACGCTGTGGCTACTTATTCCCTGGTCCTCTACCGATGTCGGGTGAACTGTGAGTGGCTCCCGGTGGTGATCTGCTGATTGAACTTAAAACCAGCACGAGGCAGTCAGGTGTCCATGCATCGACATCATTCCTTTCTTGCCCGTCCATTCACCCTACTTACTTCTACTTCTCCCTCGACCAGTCTTCGTCCTCTCTCTCATCTTCCCTTCCCACATCTCAACCAACCACCTTGACTTGTCCTTTGTCAAGGTCGTGGTTTTGATGAACTACAATCGTAAACTGATTGTGGTGTCCGCGCCTGATAAGATAATCAACCGCAAATAAACTCATCCATCAATCCACTTAACTTGGCTTTCCCCACGCACTTCCCCCCACTTTCATACACTCTACCCCCTTCCTGGGCTTCTGGTCAGTCTACCATTCCTGACCGCTTCGGACGGTTCCCTTACAGCCACAGGTGGTCTGATTATGTGGATGTGATATTGATCGGCAACACCCCGCCTTACCATCCATCTCCTCGACTTTATATTATATTTTTGGGGACCCGTCTTCTTCACCACTTCGTTTCCCCCAATACTTCTGAACGACCAGATACACAACGCGATGCAACCAAACCACTATGACCTGCTAAGTCAGGTGCAACCAGATGAGCCTCGACGGGCGCCACGAGACGCTCATCATCGGAATCCCCTCCAGTCACGTTCTCCATCCGGTGTCGCTCCCACGAGATCCGAAGGTAAGTACTTCATTCTGCGACAAATATATGCCTCCTTCACTTCTTTTGCCCCCTCTCCTACAACCTCCCTGCACGTACAACATGCATATCGTTACACCCCTCATTCCAGGCATCACCGTTTCTGTTATATCAATATGTACTCACTCCAGTATTACATAGACTCGTGGATCGAGGTCGCCTCTCAGCCTTCCTCCTCGTCGCTTTCCTCTATTGCTACCAATGATGACATCATCACAACCGGTCTGCGTGTCGAGCAACATGGGTCGAGAGCATACCATCATCGTAGTCGGCGACGGCGTCTGCAGCGCCTGGCTGCTGTCACAGCGGCGCAAGTTAATTATTCGTCCCGTGAACAAACCAGTAGTCAAGACGAGTATGAGGAAAGCGAAAGCGAATCGGACCGCGTTATGACAAGCTCCAATGAAGACATACCTCAGAGATCCCTTGGGGGTCCGCTATTGGCTCAGTCTGGGCCTCCGTCAATGTCGGATAGTCCATCAAGTGACGAGGACGATGCGTCAACAGCCCTGGGGATGCGAATAAGCTCATCCCCGTTTGTCCCGCAGCCAAATGTCTTCTCCCATCCGCCGGCATCTGAAAACCCAGCCTGGACCAGGCCAGTTGAGAGGTGTCGTCCCCAACCTAGCGAAGTGTCAAATTCCAGCCGTCAAACGGCCATCCGGCGGAACTCTCAAGCTGGCGTAAGACCAGCTCGCAGGCAATCACAGCAGCATAGCCCATACAATATGATTTCACCGTCTTACCAGGCAGACCATGATGCCGCCCTCCGCTCCAGTCTCTCCACCCTTCTTTCCTGTGCGGCCGCTGCACGAGGTCTACCGAAATCTGACCCGCAACCTACCGCACCCTCCGGGCCTTCTCGAGCACAGCCAGCTTCATTCCGACTGGTCTCAGAGTCAGTTGCAATGGGAGAACATATATCTGAAGAAGTGCCCGCATCGGCTGTCGAGACTAATACATCTAGGCGGCCCATAAACCATAACCCACCCATAGCTACTTATTCGCCACGCTCTTCTCCCTCCGCTCCGAAGGTGAGACGGCGGTCTAGTTCGCCTAGAGAACGCCACGCGTCGGCACCTAGGAAGAGTCGTCGAGCAACCACCCCAGACTCGGCAGCTAGTCCTACGATTATGACATGGGTTATCAGCGCTGGTGTCGTGGTTCTTTTCTCGGCAATCAGCTTCTCAGCAGGTTATGTGATTGGCCGTGAGGTCGGGAGGATGGAAGCAAGCACAGGGGTCGGGTCCGTCATGGGTGATGGTAATTTTTCTGGTGGCAGAACGTCCGCGGCTTGTGGTCAGGAGGCCATCAAGGGAGGCCTGAAGCGGTTCCGATGGAGCTCTGGAGCTGCCGGATCAGGGGTCATTGCATGAACTGCTTCGTATGAGGACGACAAAGATGGACCTAAAAGGTATTATGAGCCGGACGGGCGATGGTTACGATTTTACATTGGTATGGTGTGACGAGAACTTTGGTGCAGATATTTCATTCCCACCATTCTTTATGTGTCTCTCTTTTGTTTGGCGTTCCCTATACTATACTTTCCTTAGTCCTTTTGGTGTTGTTTGCATAGCAACCTCTTTTGGCTATATCCAAGTGATGTATGGGCTGTCTGGGATGTCTTGAAAAGTTCCTGACCGAGCTGTTCTTATTCCTGGTTGTTGAATCTTTGGCGTTGTGGTCTGTTTGCGCTACAAGTTTCTCATGTGTCTTGCAATCTATACCCCCTTTCCCTTCATACCATTTGGACATAATAGTCCTTAGAAATGAATGCAGTTAACTAAAGTCCGTAGCTCCCACCAATGTGACACATTTGGCTATTCCGACGTAAAACTCATTCCTGAGCCTTCAGATTATCTGGTAATGTTAGCCATAGGGGACAGACTTTTTAAAACGGCAAAGTGAAATATGGCAGGGTGTCTTGACGTTAGCCTTTGGTATAGGAGTGTAAGCATATACGATACATATGAAGCATATTATAATTCCCGGTAAGCAGCTAAGTAGGTATGTAGGTAGCTTTAATAGTCATCTGATTTTGGAAGAATTACTCGGCATGATACAACCACTACCCTTTTCTATACATTTCCACTTTTCAATTTATTCCCGCCGTAAATCACCTCGACAAGGCAATGTCGTCAATTCTCATGATCATCTTAACGGTCTCGGCGGCAAGCTCAATCGCGCTGGTGCTCACCAGGAGAGGTTGCAGGATATTCTCCTCGGTGATATCGTCCTTCACACCGCCACTGCGGATGCTGACACCCGCGTTGTGCTGACCTTGGGCGTGACGGTGGCGCAAGTCGGTAACCACCTTGATCGAGTTGAGACCGGCGTTCTCGGCCAGCGTAGTGGGGATTATTTCCATCGCATCCGCAAAGGCCTTCCAGCAGATAGCCTCTGTGCCGGTGAGTTCACGAGCACGCTTTGCGAGGGCCTGGGCGACTTCGATTTCAGGTGCGCCACCACCGGCAATAAGGGCGCGCTTCTTGACCAGACAGCGGATGACACAGAGGGCGTCGTGCAGGGAACGCTCCGCCTCATCCAGGATGAGGTTGTTGGCACCGCGAGCGACGATCGACACGGTTTGGTTGGTGGTAGGGGCTGACTTGATGCCGGTGATCTTCACATAACGGGCTCCAGAGGACTGAACCTCTTCCACGAGGTCTGCAGTGCCCAGCTTGTCCTCAGTGAAAGAGTCAACGTTGGCGACGGGCTTGCAGCCAAGACTCTTGCACAGGAACTCAACTTCATCACGCTCGATATCCTTGATGGCAAGGATCTTGAGACGAGAGAGGAAGTGGAGGGAGAGGTCGTTCACGGCATCACGGAGAATGGATTTCTGAATGAGGAGGACGTTACACTTCGTCTTCTGGATCTTCTTAACCATGTTGAGAAGGTACTGACGCTCCTCCTTGAGGATCTTGTCCATCTGGCGGTAGTCGTTCACGACAATCTGGTTTTCCATCTGCATTTCATCTCTGTCAGCAATGCATACAACATACAACATTTTGAAGAGAATCAACCCACATCAGGCTTAGGCGGGCTAAGCTGGAATTGGATCAGACCTATCCGGGCCTTCTCGATTCTTGTGGGACCGCCACTGCTCTTGATAACGGACTGGTTCAACACCAAACCATCAACCATCTCACTGTCTTCAATCGTGCCGCCAACCTTCTTGACGATCCGGATATTCCTAAGGTCAACATTCTCAGCAGTCTTAGGATCTACGACCTTCAGCACCGAGTCGACGGCCATAGGGCCAAGGAGGCCGGAGTGCTGCGAGACGATCTTCGATGAAAGAGACGTAGAGGCCGCCTGGAGGAGGGTGGAACGGTCGACCAGGCTAATCGGGCGGGACATGTTGTGAAGGATCTCGACGGCTGCGGCTGCGGCTCTTTGGAACGACTCTGAGATGACGGTGGGGTGAATGCCCTTGGACAAGAGACGGTCTGCGGCACCCAGCAAACTTCCTGCGATTACAACCACCGACGTTGTTCCATCTCCAGCCTCAACATCCTGAGCGGCACTCAGGTCAACAAGCATCCGGGCTGCGGGATGCATAACGCTCATATCCTTCAACATAGTGTTTCCATCGTTGGTCTGCGGGGGTTAGCATATATTTGCAGGCTCGGCAGTAGGATTCGTACGATAATCGTGTTGCCCTTGGGTGTTTGGATCTAGAATCGTATTAGCCACACATCCTTAGAGAGAAAGACATAACGGAAGTCGTACCATCTTATCCATTCCTCTGGGTCCCAAAGACTGATTGATATGTTAGCCCCTCATTTGGAATGCATACTATTCCAACATCCATACCGTTCTGATGGCATCGGCGACAGCTGTTTTCATGTCAGCATCATACTCCCCAGATCTTAACACCATGATCAATACCTCTAGCGGCCAGAATGTTGGCCGTCCGCACTGCCATAGGCTTCTCCTTGTCCTGCCCGACTATTAGAACCCGTCCCACGCCAAGTATTTCTCTCTGCGACACGGACGCACCTTGAAGGTGTTGTTGCCAGCGGCCCCCTGAGAGACTGCCGTAGCCATTTTGAAAATTGTCTCTTATCCAAACACCGTACCGAAAATGGAATATAAGAGGAGCGATGGGGGGTAATGTGACGAAGGAGATCCAGACCGTGGAGGCGGCTCTGGGAATTTCTTGTGCTGGTGTTGGGCTTGGCACCACTAGCGCCAACAGCTCGAACCGACCGCCGCAGCAACCTTGGAGCTCACACCTGATTACTTCACTCTCTCTCCTCCTTCCGATCAAGCTCTCATCTCCCATCTATCGTATTATTTTTCTATTATCCCTTCACGCTAACTTCACGTATACCACCGGCTCTTGATCTCTTACGCCCCGTTCCCTTAAAAGTCGATACACCCTCCACTGTCTTATCGCCTCCATAACCACTACCTCTCACCATGCCTAGCGCCACGGGAGAGAACTGGGAGAAGTACAAGAAGAACTTCGCCGATGATGACGAGCCGGAGAAGAAGATCACCCCTCTCACAGAATCGTAAGTGATCCGATGGCTCCATTCAGATGGTTGTTTGGTTTCCGGGGACAGATGGCTAAACATCTCTAGTGATATCCAAGTGCTGAAGACATATGGCGCCGCTCCCTACGCGAACGCCTTAAAGCAACTCGAGAAGCAGATTAAAGACAAGCAAGCAAGCGTAAACGAGAAGATTGGTGTCAAGGTATTTCGACCGAACTGTATCGGCGTGAACATGCGTACCTGACATGTATAGGAATCCGACACTGGTCTTGCACCTCCACACCTTTGGGATGTTGCTGCAGATAGGCAACGCATGGCAGAAGAGCAACCGTTGCAGGTAGCCCGCTGTACGAAGATTATTCAAGATGAGAAGGACTCGGACAAGAGCAAATATGTCATCAATGTTAAGCAAATCGCCAAGTTCGTTGTCAACCTAGGGGAGCGAGTGAGCCCTACGGATATTGAGGAGGGCATGCGGGTTGGGTAAGCTTTTCGACATTTCTATTCCCCGTTCTGGATCTAACTCTGTATCTAGTGTCGACCGGAATAAGTACCAGATTATGTTGCCTCTGCCTCCCAAGATCGACCCTAGCGTAACAATGATGACCGTTGAAGATAAACCCGATGTGACATACGGAGATGTTGGTGGTTGCAAAGAACAGATCGAGAAGTTGCGAGAAGTCGTCGAGATGCCCCTCCTTTCCCCAGAGCGTTTTGTCAATCTTGGTATCGATCCACCCAAGGGTGCACTTTTGTACGGACCTCCCGGTACTGGTAAGACTCTTTGCGCTCGAGCTGTGGCCAACCGAACCGATGCGACCTTCATTCGTGTCATTGGTAGCGAGCTGGTTCAGAAGTATGTCGGTGAAGGTGCCCGGATGGTTCGAGAGCTTTTCGAGATGGCAAGGACAAAGAAGGCGTGCATTATTTTCTTCGATGAAATCGATGCCGTGGGTGGTGCCCGTTTCGACGATGGAGCTGGTGGCGACAACGAAGTCCAGCGTACTATGTTGGAACTGATCACTCAACTCGATGGTTTCGATGCTCGTGGTAATATCAAGGTCATGTTCGCAACCAACCGGCCGTCGACGCTAGATCCTGCCCTGATGCGTCCTGGACGAATTGATCGCAAGATCGAGTTCTCGCTTCCGGATGTAGAGGGTCGTGCTAACATTCTTCGAATTCACGCCAAGAGCATGTCGGTTGAGAGGGACATTCGGTGGGAGTTGATCTCTCGACTGTGCCCGAATGCTACAGGAGCTGAGCTCCGGAGTGTTGCAACAGAAGCCGGTATGTTCGCGATCCGGGCGCGACGAAAGGTTGCCACGGAGAAGGACTTCTTGGCGGCTGTGGATAAGGTGATCAAGGGCAACCTGAAGTTCAACTCGACGGCTACGTACATGCAGTATAATTAGATAACGCCTTCCTTCCCTCTACACCTTGGGTTACATTGCATGGTTGAATGGTTGTGTATGATCAATTTTTTTTTTAAAGCTAGTGGTTCATTCTACGAATGTTCTCATAATAGGAACTCGCATATAGATGTGATCCGAGTTTCACTAACCAGCGAAAGCGAAGAGTAGCGGGTGGTCGTATATCCCTGCTGGCCTTCTTGCCGTCAGCGGAATATCACATGACTGTACCGGGTAATAGATTATCTCAGCAAGGGATAGTCAATTGTGTCATTTAGATAGTAACTCGATCTAGTACATCAGAAGAAACATGCCGTAGGTGTCCCGCCAACCTAAAAGGTTGAGAAAGGCAATAGAAATTGAAAGCTTCCCCATCCAAGTTAGGGCCAGCTACTCTCCATTGTACCGTCCGTCTCCGGGATTCTTCGCTGCTGCCGGGTTAAAAGAAGACCGGCCACGTGCCTTGAGATCCTCGACCAATGAGATAATGCCGGCTGCCCGAGGTGATTACCACTGCGTGTATTCTTATTGGCAGTCTCGGCCCCGGTCCTCCCCGTCGGCAAGTGAGAAAAGGCTTATGTCAGCCAGGAATTCGGCCCAGCAGAACCGACGATCCAAAAGTGCAGCTTTGCGAGCACCACCACCACCGTTGACTTCAAGACTCTCCTCTCCCTATCTTTGTGTTGCTTCCTTCTCCCCCCTCCCCCCTTCTTAATTACACCCTTTCTTCGGCTCATTAGAGAAGTGTTTCTTTTCTTTTGATCCGTCATCATGAGCTCCCTGAGCTTGCGGAGCCTAGCTCCCGCATCCAAGGTCAGTTAGCCGACGGTCTCTTCAGGACCCTTAAGCGCAATCGTCCCTCTGTTTACATATACTGACATAGCGGATTGCGCAGATTTCCCGTGCCTTGAGGGATCAGAGACGTCTTTTCTCCTCGACCCGGCCCGCAGGTACGCATTGGAGGTCGCGAAAACTGTCTCTGCCTTCGTTTACTAACTCGTCCCTCCGCAAGCCCGGATTTTTGGCAGCAACCCATTGCGCGCTAGGGAAGCCACTGGCGCTATCGCTGAGAAGTACCCGATCATTGTAAGTCTATACAGTACGACAAGGTCAATTGATCTAGGGCTCTGACTGTTTTGACAGGACCACGAGTACGATGCTGTCGTCGTCGGTGCTGGAGGTGCTGGTCTTCGTGCCGCCTTCGGTCTGGCGGAAGCCGGTTTTAACACTGCATGTGTCTCCAAGCTCTTCCCTACAAGAAGTCACACTGTTGCTGCCCAGGGCGGTATCAACGCTGCTCTTGGAAAGTAGGTCATCCCTTGGTGAGCGTGTCAATACTGCAGTTGCGCTAAATTTATACACTACAGCATGCACGAGGACGACTGGAGATGGCACATGTACGACACTGTGAAGGGTTCTGACTGGCTCGGAGACCAGGATGCCATTCACTACATGACCAGAGAAGCCCCCGCTAGTGTTCGTGAGCTCGAGGGCTACGGATGCCCCTTCTCTCGTACCGAGGACGGCCGTATCTACCAGCGTGCCTTCGGTGGTCAGTCCAAGGAGTTTGGAAAGGGCGGCCAGGCCTACCGTTGCTGTGCTGCCGCTGATCGTACTGGTCATGCTCTTCTTCACACTCTTTACGGACAGTCTCTGCGTCACAACACCAACTACTTCATCGAATACTTCGCCCTTGACCTGCTGATGGAGGATGGCGAGTGCCGCGGTATCATTGCTTACAACCAGGAGGATGGTACTCTGCACCGTTTCAAGGCCCACCACACCGTCCTGGCCACTGGTGGTTACGGACGTGCCTACTTCAGCTGCACTTCCGCCCACACTTGCACTGGTGACGGTATGGCCATGGTTGCCCGTGCTGGTCTTCCCAACCAGGATCTTGAATTCGTTCAGTTCCACCCCACAGGTATCTACGGCGCTGGATGTCTGATCACTGAGGGTTCTCGTGGTGAGGGTGGTTACCTGCTCAACTCCGAGGGTGAGCGTTTCATGGAGCGTTACGCTCCTACCGCCAAGGATCTGGCGTCTCGTGATGTCGTTTCTCGTTCTATGACCTTGGAAATCCGCGAGGGCCGTGGTGTTGGTCCTGAGAAGGATCACATCTACCTTCAGCTGAGCCACTTGCCCGCTGAGCTCTTGCACGAGCGTCTGCCCGGTATCTCCGAGACTGCTTCCATCTTCGCTGGTGTCGACGTGACCAAGCAGCCTATCCCCGTCTTGCCCACCGTCCACTACAACATGGGTGGTATCCCCACCAAGTACACCGGTGAAGTCCTGACCCAGGATGAGAACGGTGCCGACAAGGTTGTTCCTGGTCTGTACGCTTGCGGTGAAGCTGCTTGTGTGTCTGTCCACGGTGCCAACCGTCTTGGTGCCAACTCTCTTCTGGATCTGGTCGTTTTCGGTCGTGCCGTTTCTCACCGTGTCCGTGACATTGCCACCCCCGGCAAGCCACACCGTGAGCTGAGCTCCGACGCTGGTGCTCAGTCCATCAAGGATCTCGACTTCGCTCGTACTGCCGACGGCCCCAAGTCCACTTTCGATATCCGTAACGCTATGCAGAAGGCCATGCAGACTGACGTCAGCGTCTTCCGTACTCAGGAGAGTCTGGATGAGGGTGTCGCCAAGGTCACTGAGATTGACCAGCTGTACGACCAGGTCGGTACCAAGGACCGCAGCATGATCTGGAACTCTGACCTCGTGGAAACTCTTGAGCTCCGCAACCTTTTGACCTGCGCGTATGTATCACCCTGAAAAGCTTTGGCGACCAATATAGCTGACCACAGATGATATAGTACCCAAACCGCTGTTGCCGCCGCTAACCGTAAGGAGTCTCGTGGTGCTCACGCCCGTGAGGACTACCCCGAACGTGATGACGAGAACTGGATGAAGCACACTCTCACATGGCAGAAGACCCCTCACGGCAAGATCGACCTGGGCTACCGTGCCGTCGAGCACAACACCCTGGACGAGAAGGAGTGCAAGCCGGTGCCACCCTTCAAGCGTGTCTACTAAGCGTGTCACGCCAAGTGTGATCCGATGAAGAGGTGTATTTAGAGGGGTTGTGTGAGTGGAGGAAAAATAGCGTCACGAAAATCTGGCAGTGTTTATTTCCCGTGTGTTTATATGTGTATATCCAATTTCCCAGGCGATGAGTTCGGTGTACTCACGTTGTATTGTTATTTTATAGCCCTTGATTACCGATCATACAATTGGAGTTTTCTTTTGTGTTGCAAAGCTGTTTTGAACCGAGATAGTAGTCTAACTCCAGTCTTTCTTTAAATGCCTCTGGGTCGATTAGGGTTGGCTCAATACCGTGACTTCCCACGCATTCATCAAGGTTTTTAGGTTAAGGGGCTCTCTTTCTTGACTTTCGAACTCCCCATATTGTGGGTTTGATTCAACAACATGCTCAGGAGAGCATTCGATTGATCAATTGATTGTCATGGGGATCTCACGCCGGTTTCTTCATCAGGCCTTGAACAAAGAACTGAGGAAACAGCCACACCCATATCTGGCTTAGAACTGAACGCTGACCAGGTATCTTCCCGAATGCACAAAAAAAGCAAAAGACGTTCCACTCCCGTCCTCAACAGTTCGTACTGCCGGGTGAAACAAAGTCTTTACAGGCCAAATGAACAGACGGGTCGATCCTGTTTTATCTGATTCAGGAACTATGGTTCTACCAAAAGCCACCATATCAGCCATTTCTGAACACCCCCAAAGGGGAACAACAGCATCTGTGTCTGGGAATTGAGCGTTGTGGACGGTCAGGTTTCTTGCCTGTCCTACACATCTATGCCGAGGCCCTGCATGGATAGTAATCACATTGGACCACATGGGGGTGCCAAGTCGCATAGCAAACAAAGGCGCAGAATCCTGCCCACTACGCACAACGTCTAGCCTTGTTAGTCTAGATAGTGTGGATATTATGGGTGCACATTGAGTGACAGTGATCATGGGGGGCTCATCTCTTTTCGTGTCCGGGTTTTGAATAATAGACACTCGGTGCTCCCTGAAAGGCGAGTCAAACGACTCGCCTTAAGAAGTTCTTATTACGTCCGTTCTCTTATGTGGGGTTTGGAAACCTTACAGACATATATCGCTTGCTTATATATGGTCTTTATTCCATCCTCAGTATGAGCCACCAGTGCTCCGATAACAGGCAGTACTATTCCTGTTTTAAAGGCCCTTTCCAGGGATGTTGCTCTGTCGACCCATGTTCTAAGGGTGTCTGTCCGGACGACATTGCTTTGATAGCCGCCGATACCATGACGTCTACAGAGGTTCATACCGTGACGCCTACAAAGTCCGTCTCTTCGAAACAGTCCACCTTTGAGACCAGCACAACTACGACTAGTCGTCTTGAGACCACCAGCACTCCCGGAACTACAACCGCTTCCACAACCAGCACATCAGAAACCGGTACCGGTACGCCCGTTGGGGCTATCATAGGAGGAGTGATCGGTGGCATCGCATTTCTCATACTCCTTGCTATTGCCTTGTTTTTCGCCTATTGCAGGCGCAAGAAGCATGTAAGGCGTTTCACCTTTCTTCGCGGTCCTCTCACTGATATCTTTAAGGAGATGACATTTGAAACCGATAACAAACCACCACAGAGTGACTCAACAACTACAGAACAAGTCCTACACGGTACGCAAACACAACCTCTTGCTATCAGTCTACGCCTGGCATCCATACACGGCAAACTAACCAACACCCACCAGCACCGACGAAAAAAGAGAAAGCAGAAACAAGCTCCCTCCTCACCCCAACAGACTACTCCACCAACGGAACCACGCCCATCTCACCAACCTCCACCGCAGCCGAACGAGACGCATTCCACCTCTACCCTCCCCAGACCCCCTACACCTTATTCACTCACCCGAATGCATCAATTCCCGAGCTGAGCGGCACGGGAGTCCACAGCCCCCGCGCCGAACTAGCAGCCCAGCCCAGCCGAGAACTCATAAACATCCCACGTCATCAACGCCAGCCCTCAAATCAGTCGAGCTCATCGCAGGGACCGACACGCGCCGAATTGGCGGCTCAACCTTGCAGGGAGTTGATCAATGTTCCACACCACCGGCGTCAGCATCCTGCTACACTCCCGACATCATCCCGGGAACAGGTAGACGAGACTATGACACGCGCAAACTCGCCTCCGGTTATCACCGCCGATGGCGTAGTCCTGTCTGCGAACTTTGATACTTCTGCTTCTGGGTCGGATGTTCTCTCCTCTCATGGCTTGTCCAGTTCCCATGCGATGAGTTTTATGGATTATGACACTGCAAGGAAGTCAATGTTATCGGCACATCGGCCGGAGTGGGCGGATAGTCCTGGAGAAGGGAAGACTGACAAGCCGAAAGGACGAAAACATATGAAAGGGCCCGAATGAGATTAATAGTACTGAAAATGATGATCGGGCGATCTTGACGACCGGAAGGGAAGTGGATCGAGGTCGGAATTGGATTCACTATGGGATGTTTTACCTTCTCCACTAACTTTTCACTGTCTCCGTCTAGTTCCCCTTGTGTATGGCGGAGTATGTTTTCTTGTACTTTAGGGTGTTTAACTTTGCGGGGTTCATCTCAGCATGAACTCTGTTGTTCCATCAATATTTCTTTCGCTTACTACATGGCCTTGGAGAATATCTCATTCTTTCCCCTCTCGATATTCAGCTCGCCACTCATCAGTACTCTCAATTTCGCTCTATAGCCGGCCTCGCCCTAGGAACTGATTGCCTTTTGCAGGCTATTCGTCCTTCTCGCTGCCTCGTCAGTCCGTCGCCTGCGGCTAAACCCGGATCTACTCTGGAACTAAAAGTCCCTCGCATGATGCACTAACATTGGCGCTCATTCCTTGTGGGGCTGGAATGAACACAGCACAAAGGTTAATGGATGAAACAGTCCCCAGGAATTCACGGATATGAAAGTCCGGGTTGCTTTGTCTAGGTCAGTTACAAAGCACGTAGCAAGGATATACATCTCCCCACAAGGCTGCCTGACGAATGGTAATGCTCGCAAGAGGCTGAATACAGCTAAGCCACTCCAACCAAGCATCTCCGTTGCAGGAGCTTCCGGCCAATGCCTTTGTTGAAGATGTGTCATTGAAACAAGGGTTTTGTTGACCGCCGTAAATCTGTGTGCGGGGTCGGGAAAGACGACACGAAGGTACTTCCTGAAAAATTGGAGATACCTTTTTTCTTCTGGTTGGTGAAACGAGGCGAATCTGCAGGGCTACAATCAAATTCCGATTGGTAAAAAGATTTCGGGGTGCTGCGGTCTGCAAAGGCAGGAAGCATATAGATAAGGCTTCCTGACCACAGGAGCTGGAAATCGCTCTATATGTTCAATAGATTATCAATTGATCATTGCTCCAGTTTCGAAAAAAGATAAACGCCTCCAGGAATATCAGGAAGGATGCTGGACGGTTTCGAACCAGTTGTGAGGTTTCTTGCACAGTACCAAGGTGATGACTATGTGAAAGGATGGGCCAAACTGTGGGATAAGGGCGACTGCCTTGACTGGGATAAAGGGTTTCCCAACCCAGCATTAGAAGATACACTTATCCAGCGCCGCTTGATTATCGGTGATCCTCTACTCGAGGATGCTGAGGGAAACCAGTATAGGCGAAAGGCACTGGTTCCTGGATGTGGTCGAGGCGTGGATGTCCTCCTTCTGGCCAGCTTTGGCTATGACGCCTATGGCCTGGAGTATAGTCATTCTGCTGTCGAGACCTGCAAGAAGGAGGCATCCGAAACAGGCGGCAGATATCCTATCAGAAATCCAGAATTCGGAAGAGGCAGCGTCACATTTGTGCAGGGCGACTTCTTCGGTGATGCTTGGTTGGATGCCCTGGGTCTACAGCGATATGCCTTTGATCTGGTGTATGATCACTCGGTAAGTAGGCCCTTCCGGCTATTAGTTTGTACAGTGTCTTGTTAGAAGCGTGGTTAGGGATCAAGTGTGCTCACTCTGCGTTTGGCAGTTTTTCTGTGCCCTGAATCCATCGCTCCGCCCCAGATGGGCTCTGAGACAAACTCAGCTTCTTGTCCCCGACGGCCATCTAGTCTGCCTCGAATATCCAAGGCACAGGGATCCCTCGGAAATGGGACCACCGTGGACTGCATCATCGGAAGATTACTGGAAGCACCTGACGCAGCCAGGAGAGGCTGGAGTCAGCTCCAAGGACACCCCGAATGACAACGGGCTTATACGGGTAGCACATTGGCAGCCGGACCGCACACACGAGAACGGAAAGGATGCCAGTGGTAATATTCAGGATCGCGTTGCCATTTGGTGTCGGCGCGACAAGGCTAGGGAAACGGTTTGCAAAGATTGCTGAGGCTAAGCCGCGGTGCTGCTGCCAAAACTCCAAGAAAAGATTGAAAATGTTGTATATGTATTAAAATATGTATATACCAGATATCATCTCGCTACTTTTTTTATATGACCCGAAATTGTGTATGACTGCGCACTCACAGTAGGCTCCTCAGAACCGAGGTCTGCTCCAAGACAGCCCGCCGACTGGTGCCGCCGACAGCATCCTTCAGCTCCACTGCACGCTCATAATCCAGACAGGCGTTCACATCGTCATCGAAGCGAGCATCAACTGTCTTCAGTTGCTCGAGGGAAAGTGTATCCATGGGCACGCTGGTCTTCTCCGCCAGGGCAACAACGCGGCCAGAGATGTGGTGGCCCTCACGGAATGGGACGCCTTTGCGAACCAGGTAGTCGGCAATTTCGGTAGCGAGCATTTCCGGGGCCAAGGCAGCCGTCATCTTCTCGGGAATAACGGTAAGAGTCGAGAGCACTCCAGTGGCGATCTGGATGCTGTCGCTGACAGTCTTGATGTGATCAAGAAGGGGTTCAATGCTCTCCTGCAAATCCTTGTTGTAGGTAGTGGGAAGACCCTTGATCGTCATCATCAGACCGGCCATTTGACCAAAGGCTCGACCGGCCTTTCCGCGCAGAAGCTCCAGGCTGTCTGGTTTTTTGTTAGTGATCATTTTATTTGATGAGACATGAGGAACGAAGGGTATTAGACTCACCTGCATTCTTCTTCTGAGGCATCAACGATGAACCGGTGGAGTAAGCATCGGACAAGCGGACAAAGCCGAATTCCAAGCTGCTGTAGATGATCAGATCCTCGGCCCAGCGAGAGATCTTGAGCATGAATGAGCTACCCCACTGCATTGTCTCCATGGCGAAGTCACGGTCGGCGACAGTGTTCATCGAGTTGTACAGCAGACCTTCGAAGCCCAGCTCCTTGGCCATTGCCTCACGGTCGATGTTGAAAGGGTTGCCTGCAAGGGCACCGGTACCGAGGGGGCTGCGGTTGACACGCTTGGTGACTTCACGCAGGCGCTGCAGCTCGCTGGCAAAAGCCGTGGCGTGCGACAAAATCCAGTGGCTCCATCGGACTGGCTGGGCCTTTTGCAAATGGGTATAACCTGGCATGAGGTAGTCGAGCTCAGCCTCTGCACGAGAAATTGAGACCTTGATGAGGTCGCACAGGATGCTGTCTAGCCTGCGCAGCTCATCCCGCAACCACAACCGCATGTCAGTCGCAACTTGTTCGTTGCGGGAGCGACCGGTGTGCAGCTTGCCTCCAATCTCCTTGCCAATGATTTCTGATAGTCGACGCTCATTTGCAGTGTGGATGTCTTCATCGTTCTCCTTGACGGCGAAGGTATTGGTGCTCCATTCCTCGGCTATCTGCTTGAAGCCACGCTCGATCTCGGAGAACTCTTGCTCCGTGAGGATACCGGTCTTCACGTTGGCTCGGGCAAAAGCAATGGAGCCGGCAATATCTTGTTTCCAAAAGATGCGGTCATAGGGAAGGGACTGGTTGTATTGAACCATGAGGGGGTCGAGGCCCTCTGATGACACTCGGCATTAGTATCTCAAACTAAAGTACAGTGGACAGTTTAATAGGAGACGGGGTGTACTCACGGGTGAATCGACCTCCCCAGAGCATATTCTCAGCGACAGCTTTAGGACCGCTCATTTTGTATCTTGGTGACAGAAGGTTGGGGAAAATTGAAAGAAGGAAAGAAGCAATTGATGGAAACGGGACTTTATCTCGGAAGTTCCTTTAGACGATGATTCATCCAATGATTCACAGCGGGGTTGCGACATCGGGGACCTAGCCCGTATCTGGGAAAGTGTGTGGGCTATACCCGAAGAGGAAGGTAGGCGTCGAGTCATCCTTGTTTGAGGGCCAACAAGAGTCTCATGAACAAACATTCTTGAAAAGAGCATATAATACCTGTCGCAGATGGTATAAAAACAGTGAAGTTATGATGCTACTATATTGGTCCACTCCGACTCACACATATACCTTTCAAGGAAAAGAAGTGTCAATTTCTCTACATACTGATAGATATGATCTCGCGGTCGGCCTGAAAATCTCGCTACTGTGTATATATATTTTCGCTGCATGCTGCAGCCCCCCATCAAACCACCACTTGTCAGTGCATCTAGCTTCATAACATGGAATCTAACACAAAAGACATTATCTATACAAAAAATATGTTGTTCTCGTTACTAGTACAGGCTACACACTGCCCTACCAATGCCCAATCTACATATCGTATTCAACTACAGTCCACGTACATGTCCATCCAATCTCACCACCCAGCTTTTCCATCACTCGACGACTAGCGATATTGCTTTCCAACACATTGGCGTGGACCCAAGCCTCACCAGCCTCTCCGTAGTTTCGCCAGATGCCACCCTCGGCCATCCCTTGTCGCATAGCTTCCTTGGAGACATGTGAGGCAAGTCCCTGGCCCCGGTACTCTGGTTCAACATGCAGGGTTGCCAAGCTGCCATCAGTACCCAGAAAGGCCCACGCGATGGGCATTTCTCCGAGTGGAGCCCGGTTCGGTGAGCTTTCAGCTGCATCTGAGCTGTCAGACAAATGTGGCTGGAGCTGAGTCTTACGATCGGAGTAAATAGTCACTCCCGGGAGCTTGGTTAAGGTTCCACGTGAACGTGGAACATTGGTGCGAAACCGTATCAGGTCGTACTGATGTGGTTGTACCCCGATTCGGCCTTCCCTGTCGGGGAAGCGAAAGCCATCTGGAAGTGGGGCTGGGGCGCTGTCAGGGCTGTCAAAGCTGTCAGAGCTATCTATGACAGAATTTTGGCCCCTAAATAGGTACTTGACATATGGAGGATTATCGAAGCGGTGAACCCGAAGGCCTGGGACAGGCTCCGAATGAGTATAATCCCCCGAGGCACTTAGTAAGGAAAATAGTCCCGTATGTAGATTGCCAATTAGGAAAGCCTGAGGGGGCGGCGCAGGGATCAAACCCGAGTGTTTGGAAGCGGGATCCTGGCCCAGATTGTTGGGAATAGGGGAAGATCCGGTAGATTGGATAGATGACAAATACTCTGGTAGCAGGTATGCCTTGACATAGGATAGTAGAGCCAATAGTTGTGCACGAGCCAGCTCCAGAGACTGGCCGGAATCTCGCAGAATAGAGACAAATTGGCATTCAACGACAGGAGACGTCGCCTGGGCTTCGAGGCTCGAGTAGATCACGATCTGTGTTTCGCGACCAGCGAAGAGATCCACATATGCAGCCAGCCACGGAGAGGTTGGCGCATCTGCCCCTGAAAACGTCGTCAGAATCTTAGCAGTAGATGAAGGATACGCTAGACCATGCTGGAGGCGCCGTAGCAACGGAATCGAATAAGGTAACTGGGCCTTCAGCAAAGGAATTAGCGCGTGCGGATCATAGTCGACGATAGGAGACGCCGATGAAAGCCTTGAGGGATCCATCAGAGGCATATGACAGCGGAGATATTATTAGCTTCAGGGAACTGTATTTCCGGGCGAAGCGAGAGGCTCCATGCTTCAAACCGTCCAAGCTCCTGACCGGAGTGCCCGTTGATCATTATAAACTGCATCGTAAGCGATTGCGCGAAGGAATGAGTCAAACTATTCATGTTAGTGATTTTACTTCAAATGGTATAGTGAGGGAGGGAGTATTTGTCATGGCAGCTAAGATCATCAACTTGACAGCACCCCATGCCGAAAGCGGGAAGGCGTGGCTCCGGAGCTCCCGTCCTGTCGGAGAGACCGACTTGTGGCGGTGCGCACCACTGACACTGCTGTGTACTTGATCTTCGCGTTCGTCTCTTTTCTTTAATCCCGGCTTAGTCTCGCGTTTTATTCCCTTCTATTAATTGGACGCTAACCGAGAAATGATGGATACCCCGTTGACACGTCAAATGTCAACTATAAGAGATTGATTCATCTAAGGCTTTACCGATATAAGGGCATTGTTGGGAAGATTTCCAATGCGCTAATGCATGTGTTTTTGGCCATGTGCCCCAACCTTCCGCGGATTCATGCTGAGAACAATCTAGAAAACCATCCATACAGGTTGATGCATATGATAGATCATTTTCTTTATTTATTAAAAATTTTTTGTTTTCTGAAAATTTTATCCAAACCCACCCTGGTCAGTCTCATCTACGGAGTACAGAGGATCCCGAGGTTTCAGGATCCGAAGCGGCGCTAAAATGCAATCAATATAAATTAAATTCGCACGCTAAAAATAAGCCCGATTTTAGGCTGGTAATCAACACCAAAAAAAGAAAAACGAAAAAAAAAAAATTGGGAAAATGGAGAAAGGTGATGATATGACCAAAGAAATTAAATGAAGGAATGACAAATATCATCAGGTTCATAGCTCGTCGCTTCATCAGACCAGTTCACCATGGACTTCGCGATCCTACCATCCAATCTTCCATTGCTAGCCACTCACTCCACCGTGATTCGGCGATTCGTAGTTCCTCCTCAGTAGCTTCACGAAGGGGCCGGAGAAATGGTGTTTGTTCGTCGGGAAGCATGTCATATGCCGCTTTGGTCGATGTCCACCCTCCACTCTTGGCAGTAAACAAGTAATTGATCCGCTCCTGTTTGCAAACACACCCGACTCCCGCCTGCCAGTCATTGCCAAAAAATGCCTGCAAGATTGATGGAGTATCATATCCAGTCACGATGAGACGTCGGATAAATGGCCTCAATGAAGGAGCATTATAGGTTCCTTCCACTCCGGGGTCTATGTTTTGGGGTGTTGGAAGCCCGTTGACTGGCGCGGCGGATCGCTGATATGGAAGCCGAATGTTGATAAAAGCGGCCAATGATTGCACCTGAGGCGAGTGTTGTCCTTGGCTGAGAAAATGTTGCATGCAAGCCCAGTACCGGGGGTACCATTCATTGAGATCCACTTGAGAGAATTCCGCATCCACAGGGGGTTCTTCCGTGGGGGTGAGCATCCTCTGATTTGGGCTCACATCGTATCCATAAGGACTTTCGGAGACACAGACGGCAGGTGCTTGCCCAAGTCTATTGCATTCGGAATCCAGATCGATCGATTCTGCCAGGGAACCAGATCTTAGAGAAAGCCCATCATGAGAGTCGCGCAAGCCATTGGGGTGTTTCTTACTAGGGGAATGATAAGCGATAGATGCCAGGGGAGAGGACTCGTGTATTTCCATACATGGAGAACTTTCCCAGCATTCTCTTCCAGAACCCTGAACGTCCATTGTTATGGCTGGCTTGAAGCATGTACGGCAATGGGCAGAAGTTTGAAGTATAAGACAGGAGAGGCCGAAGCGCAATGAAAAACAAAGTCAATGGAGTGTTAATAGTTATATTCAAACTGTAGTCTGGGGTATCTGGACAAGACAGCAAGGGAGAGAGGAAACGGTAGAATTTATGTTTCTTTCACGATGGATCGTCCATGTCGGCCAAAGGGAGAAGCACGGGCACCCCGAAAGACAAATTCGGCAGATATGGAGAAGATAGAGTAAAGAACGACCCAAAATGGGTTCATCTGTGGTATGAACATGGTCGCCATAAGCTTTAGCCCTGGCAGAGTGGAGCTCATATTGAGGATCTGAGGCTATCCCCCATCGTGCTATTGGAAAAAATGGGTCAAGCCACATATAGCTCTAGCCACATATGTCAAGCCACACCAGCCCTAGTACGTGGCTGAGTCGGTCTGGACGTGGCTGTGCTCTCCTAGCTCTCCTAGTCTTCACCGATGCGGAGCCCCCTACCTGCCCTAAGACGCTAAGGCCTCACCAACATACCAATCCCTAGTGCTTTAGTCTCGATAGTCTTACTCCATGTAGTAAGCGGATCAATGCGAGCATTGCGGTTGGCGATTAGTTATCGCTAGACTAATTGATTATTGAGCCCTCTGAACCCGGCGACCTGGAAACCCCGATGGCACTAAGGAAAAAGATTTGGAAGAGTTTTTTAACTAGTGAGGGTTGATCCTTGTCGGCTCATCAACAATAGCTCAGCAGCCTCAGCTAGTCGGGTCCAGGGCAATGGTTACTAGGGCGTCGTTACGAATGACATTGACGGTTGACAATGGGACTCTATCCATGCGAGGTACGGGACCAACGCTCCTACCCAATGTGGGATCAAGCGAAACGGGGCTCCTTGAGTGTCAATGTCAATGTCAATAGTGGATGCCACACGGCCTGGAGCAGATGTGACAGCTCCCTTGTGGGCATCCTCTGTTGTGCTACAGCGGTCAGGAGTCGCTTGCTGTCGTGTCACCAACACATACCTGCATCTCCACACATGGTGTCCGGGTCGCACCTACATTTGGGGTAACACAGGAGGTGATAGCGCGTGGGCATTCCCTGATTTTCATATTTTGCTTGAGGAACAGCGTCTTGTACAACGTGGTGAGGGTGAACATGACCTCACTGGACGCAAGGGCGAGATTCAGTGAGAAGCGAAATGGAGTATGTCGGCCTGTCGATCCAGGCGGCCCTCCATTCGTGTCGGGGCAAGTCTAACCCGATTAGTATACCACTACTATTGGTGACCATGTCAAGTGACTAACGAGAATGAGCTTAGCTGTTCAAGAGGGGACTCCCGATATAGTTTAGACCCAATTCAGGGACAGAAGTCTGTGTACCTGACGGGTGGGTCGACCGAATGCACCCGAGATTTGTGAGTGGCCGATCACAAGCACCCCGGTTCCCTGGGTTCAGCACGCCTAACATGCTTTGTAGATACGAGGGTCGGCTAAGGCCGCTACCTACTAAGTAACCTAACAACCAAGTGAGTAATTGATTGCGAATGAGTTGTATCGTTTCCGGCCATGATTGGTTCCCGCCCCTTGTAAGTGGATCCACTCCCCTCATTTTCATTAGCTATCTCGTGAACTGGCTAATGCACCTTTCATGATGAGATCATGACTTTTAATTTTCTTGATCTAATTTTCTAAATTCAAATCATTTTAGGCGATTTGACCCATCATGAGGCTATGAGCACGCGAATTCAGGATCGGAGATGGCGCTAATCAGGGAAAAAAAGAAATTTGTCGAATTGAAATTAGTAGTCTAGCCATGTCTATCGATCATCGGTGGATTCGATGCCATGCACTCCATCAATCCCCACCCTTGTCAGTGTGTGGCTGACTGCCTCCACGATTGCATTGCTCGTTATAAAGACTTCAAGGCTTCTCTCTTTGTTACCCATCACACTCGTCTCAAAAGCTAAATCAACTCTGAAGATCCAAGATCAAGATCTATATCAAAGATTAAAAGATCACCACCATCCCTCAACAGACCATTGATCGTTCTACCCAAACCTACGACCTCTCTTCCTCCCCGAACCTTCAATCACGATGTGTTACAAGACCAACTACGAGCCTTACGTGAGTGCAACCTTCCCCATGACCATGATTCACGCAAACAATAACTAATGACACTACAGAGGAGTCAAAGCCTGGATATGAAGGAAGACCTTTCTTTGGAGGAACTTCTCTATCCGTTGGGAGATCTCTATCCACACGTCGTGGCCCTTCAACTACAATCCGAGGACAACCCATGGTCCAAGAACTTCCCTGGCTATTCAGATGTCAGTTATTGGACTGAAGTTTCTTCGTCACGGCCACCTTCGGAGACTTCTTCGAAGCACACGACATGCAGGTACAGCAGCGGTGAGTCTTCTCTTGTCCTCCAAATGTTACCTGTCACTTTTGCTAATCCTGATGAACTGCAGACTCCACAGCCTCCAGATTTGTCACCCGCATCCGGCGACTTCTCAGCCGAGATGAGTTGCGCCGACGCTCGAGAGCTTAAACTTGTCTTGACCGAAAGATCTTTGACCTCTCATTTGTCACTTTTCTTCACTACATCGTCGATCGATTCGATTTCCATTCCATTACTTGCATTTGTATTTTCTATTTTCTGTTGAACCGCAGCAAGCGAATACCCTCCTGTCTAATGTTTCATTTGTGATATTGAAAGCATGCTGAAGATCGCCGACGATCTTGAACTCTAACTCACCGACTCTCTGTCCCTCCCTCTCTGTCTCTTCCTCCCCCGCCTCTACCCCTCTACCTCTACCTATCCCTCTTTGTTCTTTTCCCTCTCAGCTCACACTTATCACTCCTTGTTTGATACATAATGCTTCTTTTCTTTTCTTTTTCTTTTCAGCAATTTAGATTAGCAAGGCGTTCATTGGGCAAGCATATGCAAGGGTGAAACAGGGGCATCACTTATCATCATCAATTCAACGACTTTGCAAAGGGGCCAGATTGGTGGCACCAATAATTCATACATCATTCAGATCACTGTTTAGCTTCCCGTCTTCTGAGATAAAGAAAGTAAGGCCAAAAGTAGATCGAAGCCATGACATGCCACGCTTTGTACAGTAGATATTGTTAGATTCGGATGTTATTGAGGATCTTGTCTGTTTGTAATGCTGTTCGTATGAAAATCCTTGCCTTCCCGTCCAACAGGTATATCAAGAGTATGCATACAAAGATACAGCCCATAATGGGCCGTCATGGAACCCCACAGTGTGAAGCTACAATACTAGTAGTACTAGTACATTACAATATGGAGAGTGCAATTTGGTATACTAAGAGCTAAAACCCCCCAGAAAAACAGGCAAACAAAAACAGAACCGATCACGTCGAACAACTTCCCTCTGTCGGCTCCTTGTAGATCAAGACATGAACTGTGGGGAGCTCAAACTCCACCAATATACGTTTAACTTGCTCTACCACCGGGCTCCAGTTTCGTTGACGTTCTCTCTCCACCGCTATCATCACTGTAGGTCGGCTATTTTGACGTGATTCATTATCGCTGACGCGATAGCTGCCTACGGATATAAATCCGGCTGTATCCAAGCGGCCCATGATTGCCTTTATAACAGCCGAGTGCTTGCTGAATAGCTCATCTGTCTCCTTGCAAGGAGATATATAGGGGCGCCATGCGTCATAGATAGTGGGGAAGTCGTCGTCGTCGTCCAATCTCGGGAACATGGCCACAGACGCGGGTGTTGAGATGGAGACTGGATTGTTTGAGGCTTGCTCCATTGTGATCAGATCGGTGGATGGTGTTGTGTATCTATTCGGTTGTCAGTTCTATAGAGCACATGACTTGGCATTGAATCAAAAAAAGGGAGTTGATGATAATATCTGTCTTAACAAAAACATGTTTTATACACCTCGTACATGAGTGCTTACCTGTGGAACTAGCGATTTAGCTAGAGTAGTCTGTATTGATTAGACGCACTGCGGAGTATATCTCGAACACAGCAAAAGAGATATGAGCCTGACTCATAACGAGCTAGCAACCCTGAGGGGACAAGTGCCTTATATAGACAAGAGATGGTAATTATCTCATGATGCTGTAATGGTTCTTTGTTGAGTATTCTTGTCCATGATAAAGAAACCTAAGTGGGTCTTTGGCTGTGAATAAACCAAGCTTTGTCTGCTTTCAGTGAAAGACAATAAGCATGGCTAACAATGAGATATGAGACATTATATCCGGTACCCGCTGCGAGACATGCCACAACTTCAATTTATCAACAACAGGGCCCTTCCTTGGAAATTATTACATTTCTATGGACAAAATGGCACCGGAACATAAAGATGCACCCGGTGAAAGATCCAGTGTCTAGGGAAGAAGTCTTACAAGAATTGTGACGCCACCTAGCCCCTGAACTAAGGAACAGGGTGAATATAACAAAACCATAAGTTTGAATTCAACCAGCACAAACAATCAAATATAAGGTTATTATAAGTTCTCCATATAGTTCGTCAATTAACTATACTCCATAGATTGGGGGAGTAGGATTATATAATCTATATTTAGAGATCACTAACCAGGACAGGACTAGTGTAAAGTTAATTGACAATGGATTTCGCTGGCCTCGAGTTCAAGGCTCTTATCCATCATGATTATGCTAACTGGTTTAAGTCCGATACGAGCATTGCCGCCTTATCACATCCAAGCCACCCCAGAAGGCACCCGGATTCGATCCCCTGATATACAGGACATGGTCGCTATCACTGTACAGTGAACTTCGTCCCGACCAAGGGCGATCCAAAAAAAAAAAAAAGTGCCCACCCCAGATCTCCGACCGTATCCCCTTGAACCCGCTACCCCGGGAGCCTAAACCAGAACCATGGCAAGGTATTCCAATCTCGACAATCACGATTACACCGACGACGACTCTTCAGACGACGGTCTACATTCTTTCAACGATAACAACAACAATGCCCCATCCTACCGTCTCACCAAATACACCCGCCCGTTAATCGACTACGTCCGAAACGAGTGGCAAACCAACCCCAAATATGCCTCCCTTCCCCTAACAAACGGCGACACCTCCAACTGCCCGCGCTGGGTCCAGCTGCTCGGCTCCATCGTAACGGCACCCCGCTTCCGCCGGTATGTCGTGGTCTATACGACGGTTCTGATCTCCTGCTGGACCGTGTGGAAGTTCATCGTCTCGCCGCGGCTGGAGGAGCATGCGGCGATTCTTCGCGCACTGGATCCGCAGACGAAGGAGGAAGTGGGCGGGTGGTTTGGGGCGAATGCGTTACCCAGGTTTGATAATCTGGTTCAGTTGAGGACGCTGGAGCCGTCGCTATTACCTGGGGAGGTGGCATCGGAGTCCGATCCGCATGGCGGGAGGAGGTTGATTTTCATCGGTGATGTGCATGGTTGCAAGGATGAGTGTGCGTATATTACCTACACCCGTACGCCGCAATATCGCTCACTGCATACTAACGTTGTTTTGTCTCGGATCCTACAGTGGAAAGACTACTAGAAGAGACATCCTTCAACTCAGACACCGACCATCTAATCTTTACCGGCGATCTGATCACCAAGGGTCCCGATAGCTTGGGCGTCGTCGACCTAGCCCGCAACTACTCCGCTTCCTGTGTCCGCGGCAATAACGAAGATAAGGTCCTCAGCCTCCGCCACAACATGATCGCCGCCAACACCATGAACGACGAATTCTTGGACAACGCGAACATGCACAGGGGAAAGTACACAAAGGAGCGCCAAGTGGCACGACAGCTGAACGAAGAGCAGGCCGATTGGCTCGATACTTGTCCGGTCGTTCTGAACGTGGGCCAGATCAGGGGCATGGGACAGGTTGTTGTGGCCCATGCGGGATTGGTTCCGGGGGTGGATCTCGACAAACAAGATCCGTATAGTGTCATGAATATGAGGACTGTTGATTTGGATACGCATGTGCCGAGTTCTTCGGGGAAGGGCACGAAGTGGACGAAGGTGAGTTCCTCCCTCTCTGTTTTTTTTGCATGTATGCAACCGTCTTTACGGTCCAGGGCTAATGAATATACCAGTTATTCAACAAGCACCAGTCGCTTCTCTCCGATAGTCTCCATGAGACCTTCGAAGATCCCGAGTCGATGCTTACGACCGTCATCTACGGCCACGATTCCCAGTCGTCGCTTTCTCTCAAGACCTACACCAAGGGTCTCGACACTGGCTGCTTTAAAGGTGGAAAATTGACGGCGCTGGTCGTGAGTGACGGTGGAGAGCAGAAGATCGTGCAGGTGAGGTGTAACGACCATACTAAAGAGTGAGGGGTCAGCGTGAACCTCCTCTTGGCTTCTCAATTTGCGTTTCCGTTCTCCGCTGGCATGGGGAAAGCGTGTGATTTTGAATATAAAGCATGCTCGGTGTTACGGCGCTTTATGATGAATAGGGTCACTTTTAGGGCATTGTCATGTTTTGATGGACTTAAGAATACTTGTACCACCTCTGCACTAAGTATATACCGGCCCGCTATAGATAGTTCACCTTGGTGAACATCACCTATGCGGGCCATGACAGTATTATATACATTCTATATATACGGAATAATACGAAAGAGTCCTGTGAAAAGACAACCCAAGGCTCTTCAGGGATTCCCAGAATTATTCCACACCCCATCGACCTCCCAAACAACGGGCTTCGTAAAATCTTCATACCAGAGCCCACCAAGCGCATTCATCTTGACATGTCCGAACCGGAAATACTCCGGCTCATTAGCCTTGAGCCGCGTCCAATTGAAGGATTCCACAGAGCCATTATCCGACTTGAAAGCCTGAAACCGCTCAACATCATTCACCAACACGCTGATCCCATCCGCATCCTCGGCGACATTCGGAAACTGGAATACGATGTTCTGAGCCGAAGGGATCAACGGGGCCCCGATTACGGGGAGGATACTTCCCAGCTCCGCGCCGTTGAGCAGAGCAGCTGCTGTCTGGAGGATGCTGTCGAAGCCCCATCTTGCGATGCCGTTAATGAACAGACCGACCAGGAGGCCTTGGTACAGGAGACTGGGTCTAGTTTGGATGGTTGTACCGGGGAGGAACAGTAGACTGAGGATGTAGTGGTGGATTCGGAGGTTCATGTTTGGTACGATGAGAAGGGCGACGATGCCGCAGGCCATGATGCCGTATATAGACAGCATTCGGGGGAGTCTGCCCTCATTGCGGAAGGCGAGGGCTTGGGTTAGCACGATGGCGATCAGGAGAGTGACGATGATGATCAGCGCGGGGATGGCACCTGGCTGCTGTTGGATGTCGTGGGGTGTCAGACGGGAGATGGGGATCTTGTCGAATGTGTCGTTGTTGAGGGCTCCCACCCAACACGGGCCCAGCCAGAGAACGGTCTTGTCCCAGTGGGCGTCCAAGTCTTTAAGCGTGTGCCGGACGCAGAAATAGTACATTGCAAATCCCACAAAGGCACAGGGGAGAAATCGGCCCAGTGCGGTCGATACCACCTCGTAGAAATCTGGGGAGTAAGGTGGATCAGACGAAAGAGCTACTTGGAAGTAGACGATGAGGTATATAGAAGCGTAGAAAGCTGCAGGCGACGTGGTGAATAGCGATAGTATAGCAGATACTATCAGGGAGAAGGTGAACAGCGGCCACCGGATATCTTGGCAGCTAACGTTGCCCTCGTCGGACGTCTCGCCGCTACCAAAGGTGAAAGAGAGTGGAAAGTTAGACGGGAAACCTATGCTTGAGATTCCGTTCTTCTCGATGGATACAAAGCCGGAGTACTCGCCCGTCCGACGGAGAACGCCGCAACCACCCTTCTGGTCGCTGATGAGTCCAGCGTGTAGGGCTGCTGGGCAAATCGCCGAGTCTCCACGATATATCCCGAAGTTGTTACTTCCAGAGCTCTCCGTACCACCTCCGATAACGAGGCTCTTGTAATTGATTTCTTCTGGGCCTACATAGTACGGTTCAAGCACGATCGTGGAGGCACAACCTGCAGGGCAGCGGAATGCAAACCCTCCTTTATCAAAGGGACGACAGTCATCGCCATTGATTCCACAATTAGTAGCGTTCGACCTGCCATGATAAGTAGATGAGTATACAGAAAAAGGCCCAGACGAGGAAGAAATCAGTCGACGTTACCATACCACAGTCCGCCATAACATGGGAGTTTTACAGGTTTTCCATAGCCCGGAATCTCTTGGGCCGAGATGGAATAATGCAAAGTTTCTATAAACACAGCGCCCCAAACACCCAGGCAAAGCAGAAGGAGCCAGACCTTAGCGCTCTTGCTAGGAAAGTAGCGCTCCACGAGCCGGCCAGGAGCGGTTTGCCATCGACGAAGCCAAGGATTGATCAGATATCTGCGCGGCGGTGATGGTCCTTTAATCCAAGAGGAGATCTTAGAGAGATAGCACGAGAATCGACCCGATTCTTGATCAGGGCGCAAACGTGGGCTTGAGGTTGGCAGTAGCGGTTCGTCGGTGCCCTGAAAATGGTCGTCGGCGTGTACGGAGTCAGTACTTGGCCGTGTGACGATCACAAATGGGCTGTTCCCTGACAGATCCTCGTGAGCCAGAATATGCATCGGATGCTCTTCCGAGACCGGGAAACGCTTCTCAGGGGAAGAGGATCTGGACCTGGATCCCCCTCTAGGTGTCTGGTCCGAATGCATTTTTGGCAACATAAGCCATGGATGAGTGGAAGGTGAACCGCGGGAAAGAGAAAACTCCTGAAGGAATACCAATTCGGCCCCTTTAAATGAACTTAGTCATCGGCTCACTCAACGTGGCTTCAACTCCTTCACGAGTTGGACGTTAGTATAGAATTTTACCTGGGGATTTCTTGATAAATGTCTCAATCGTCAAGGGGAAGGCGGCAGCTTATTGGTTTTTTAGGTTTAAATTTAGCCCGCGATCCATTCTTAGCACCAGCTAGAGTCACGCTTTCCAGAATGCAACCGCGACCAAAATATCCTAGACACCTGAGAAACGAGGCATTGATATACTACACACATTAGATACTAGTATAAAGCCAAAGTAGACTTGCATTGCCAACTAAAGATTAAGAATCATGTTATAAACGTAACGAGCGATAATATTTGCCACCATCATGCCACATGAGCTCATCAACACACCGACTGGGTATCTGTATTAGTATTAATTGTAATTAAAGAGAATCATTAGGTCGTTTCCCGTGTCAATGGTCATGTATCTCGCTGATGGCGAGCCATGAATCTCAAGTGGAACTTAACGCGACTTTCACATGTGGCGGCGCTGTATTGCGCCAATGCTGAATCACGATGCGAAGTATCGTGTCAGGATCGGGGTATAAAGAGTGTCGTGTGGGTTGATAGATATCTCTCTTTGAATTACCGGTCTGATTTTCGCTGATAGCCGGCCATACCCAGGGCTGGTCGGGCAGCTGAGAAAACCAAACAATATTGTAAAGCATAGCTTTCCATATTTAGACAGCGGACCGCTTGAAGAAGCCACGGCGGTTGCTACTGATTAAAGGTAAGTTTCGTGCATGTGGCTAGGAACCATGATAGAAAACTTACACTCCGTCACTTGTAGTACCACGGACCCGGAAGGTGAACCAGATACCCTAAGAACAGACCCAGTCAGTATACGAGACTACCGCCATCGATGCAGAAGCGAGTACGAACCACGATCGCCGAAACGAGCCAGACGCAAGCCGAGATGAAGCTGAATGCCTCTGCGGCTTTCCACCGACCACACACGTCGTTATGAACAATACCGCCCCATGCCCAGATACTTCCGCAGTTAAATTTGTGGATAGCGTCGACGAGGATACCGAAGGCAGCGAACCAAGCGAGAGAGATAATGACATCAACTGTCAGAATATGTCAGCTATTGATTTCAATTTCGCTACGGCACAGCACGGCGGAGACATACAGGGCCACGAAAAGAAGCCGAACGAGAAAGGTATCAACCATATCAGGCCCAGTAGAATGGATAGACCGGCGACCACTTCTGTATAGATCCATCGTGCTTGAGGCCAAGCCTCAAGGTCATTCAACGAACCAAGGTAGTAACCGATGATGCCAGCGACGATCTAGATCAGATAATGTTAGTTTTCATTTCTCTTATCTCTCCCCTCATATTCGCTTCTCCTGTAGATGTGTATAGAGAACGTACCGCAGCGCAGATGATTTCCACTACGCGGAGAACGATCGACACGAGACGTGAGACGACGGGCATGATGAGAGTGTAATGTTTGAGTCTTGAATAGCGGTGTGGATGATGAGGTCAGAAATGCAGGTACAAAATGATGGTGCCTAAGACGGGCGTATGTGGAGTATAGATCCGAGAGGTATTACACTGTTACTCGGTAGTCTGCGAGGAGGAGGGTATAAATATGAGAGATCGGCTGCAAGAAGCGAGCAGGGTGGAAAGTAACCGGTTTAAATACAAGCTTCTCACCAGACCAGGAAGATCTGCAGCAATTTTTTTTTTTTTTTTCTCTTTTTCTCGCTTTTTCTTGGTCCTTGCTGTAGCGAATTAATGAAGTAAATTTCTTTTGATCGTCACTCCAGCGACATGACATAGTTTCGTTTCGATGATTGGCTAATGGGAAGGGCTGCCCAACGCTTAGTCTAGGCGTATCTTGCAACCATCCACTTGTTTTGCCGAGCAGTGGACAACGATACATTTGACTATAGTTGAGGTTGTACAGTATACTCTGACATCACGCTTTACAGGTCTCAAATGTGGCGCAATATACCACCTCTATTGGGGTAATATTGCCGGTCTATTCCTTCCAATACTTTTATTATTTTATTGTTTTCTTAATTTCGGTAACCACCCTAAACGCAAGGAAACAACTTTGAAAATCCCAGAAAATCCTTACCTTCAACAAATTAGTCGTTAGTAAATCAACAGGGCTAATTGCAAACTAAGGCTGAAAGGGGACTCCACCATGTCCATCACTAAGCAGAAAACAGCATATAAACCATACCGCAGCTATCCACTTGACCCATTCTCCATCGCACTCTATATCTCGTCTATGCCTGGAAGGGTTCAATAGCTCCATGGCCTTACCATGGAAAGAGATTTACATAGAATCGCAAGTTTTGCAACACGGTGTTTTCTCGGGATCTTTTTCCTATTTCTCTTCCTTTTCTGTTTCTTTCTCCATACGGAAGATGAACAAGCTGAAAGAAGTCTGAAGATTGTGGCTGATGTGACGTCATGCGCAGCATGGTTACCTAGCCTGAAGATCATCTGACCGCCACATTGTCGTCGGCCCTATTCGATCAGTTTATTTTTCTTCTTCTTTCCTCTGTTTTCCGGTTTCCACTTTGATTCCTTGAGCGATTGCCAAGATTCTAGTACTCTCATCCTATCTTTTTCCAGAATTTCAGAGGTAACGTATGGTATGATACAATTACATTGATTATTCCATATCACTAGTAGTAATAGTACAGTCTGGCACCCGCATCAACACATAACGAGTATAAAAACACAGTTGATAGAGACAAACGGATTGACATCAAAGAAATGCGATCAGATATTCTTTCTCCCTTCCAAATGCCACTCCATCACCGTTCGGAATACCCCCTTCGCCCCACTCTCAACCACATCCCCGTGGCAGGGAATCAACCGATTAAAATCCCACTTATCAATGCGTCGTACTGATTCATTGAAAGCCTTCCGGTCGCCACTCGATAGTATATACCACACAAACCTCTTCTGCCATGTTGCAGGCGCATTAGTCGACAGCAACGGGCTGATAATCTTGGTGAGGAGCCCCGAAGTGGCGCTTTCGCCTGTCTTCGAATATTGCTCCCTTGCGGGGAGATTAAACAAGAGATCCGCCTCGATGAGCGTGTGTGATCGCTTATGCAGAAACACGAGCTCCCGTGACGGATGTCCGTACACGTATTCAGTCTCAAACTCTGAGTCAAACTCCTCGGAGATTTTCTGCTGGCCATAGTTCTCTTTGCGGAACACGTGTTGGAATGGCGCATCCTTGTATTCAGGGTTGGATTGCCGCTTCTCGTAGAGGCCTTCGGGCGCGATGATTTCGGCGTCCGGGTACGCCTCTTTCCACGGTGTGATATTGATATGGTGCTCGAGGTCCAGCGCTGCGATGTACTTGAGATCACCGCCTAGACTTGAGACGGCTTCGCGGACTTCTGGTGTGAGGGAAACGGGGGAGAACACTGCGATAGCGCCGGATGCCAACTTGACTGTAGGAGGCGTTAGATTTTCTTTGTGCAAGCTTTGCCGGCCAAGAATCGATTCTTGGCTGTCAATACGTACCTAGAGTTCCTCGTCCGCCGAACTTTAAACGTCCAAATCTCGCGAATGGCAAACTCATAGTGATCACGTCCGACGTCACATTGCGGATTACCATCACCTCGGATGGGTTCTTGGGAAATAGTTGGGGAGCCATGGCTGAGGGTGTTATGTTTTCGGGCGACAATTATCAGGAGGTGATTGTCGCGATGGGGAGTTGGAATACTTATTGGGACTTTAGCTACTAATACCAGCAAGCAAGTTGTCTGTGGGCTCACATGCTCTGAGGTGTTCGTTCAGTAATCAGTTAATTAATTAAACACAGGAATCTGGACTTGTGGCTGTGACCGTGACGTCAATGTAGCGCGGGGCCTGGCAGGAGGGAGGTTAGTAATAGTAGCCTAAGGCCATCCCAGAAAAGGTTCAACTTGCTCCTCCAACCATATATTTTGGTACGTGGAAAACCTTGAACCGGATTTTGAGCCTACTAAAGAGACAAGTTACATACTGCGATGCGGTTGACGCAGCATATGACCATTAGTCATTGCTGGCCGGGCCTGTGGTCTAGAACACTGTGTATCGCTAAGCTAATAGATTGAATTCTATTTTGCTTTGCTAAGCTACCTTACCGAGTTAACTATTTTCAAATTATGAACCATTATGTACTTCCAAGTGTACATTGTTAGTTGGAAACACGTGCACTCAGGCGCAGATCTATTTTACGAACCATACACGAGTGAGAAAAACCATTACGGAACAATAGGTTTCATTTACACCGTCCAAAACAATATGGGTATCACAAGTATCCACGATTAAACAACAGAGGGAAAGATAAGAGATAACAAAAACAAGAATGCCCGGCTCCGGAGACTATCATCAGCAGAGTCCTAGCCATACCAGCCGCGCCCAGTGTTCTCATGCTGTTCTTCTTCACGGTGAGGAATGATGGATTCCTTGATATCGTACACCTCGATTAGGTCCCGCCAGGTTTCAAAGTCAAGGCTGAATATAGCCTGGTGTTTCTGAACCCCTTTTCTCTGGGCTTCGTTCGGGGCATATGGTTTTGCAGCATCTGTAACAACCGATGTTAGGTAAAGAAGTCTGACTGAAGTCCAGAAGGAGACTTACGTAGAGTTGGCAACTGCCGACTGTCTACCTGAATACCAACAGTGCCATCCCTGACCAAGAAGCTGACGTAAAACAGATTTTCCACGCTTTGTCCGAACGACCTCGGATTGATGCAGAAGTGAAACAGGGGAACCCCGCCATCATCTGCAACATGGTGTTGAGCCATCACTTCTTGCACCATGTCGTCTGTGGGCTCTTCTTCCAGTTGCGATAATAGTCTCTCTACCATGTCCTGGCCAGCATTCTGCGTTTTTGCAAGCAATTTGTTGATGCTGGTACACATGGTGGTAAGGTTAGACGCTTCTTGTCGATCAAGGTCTTCTTCCCGAAGTTCCTGTGGTCGCACTGCTTGTGACGGATCGATACGCTCTCTTGCTCTTCGCTGAGTGAGTTGCCGGGTACGCTTTTGTACCGACAATGGCCCTAGCAAGAACCCGGAGATGGACGGCCGTGCATTATGGCGGAAGCAAGCAGACCGCCCAAGCCAGTCCCAGTTCATTGCATCTCCTTGATCCTCATCGCTATCATTGGGGTCCGCTTGGCTTCGGCCTGAAGCTTGGCCACGACGACGCTGTGTACTCGACATCATAGCTTGCGAATCTTCGGGAGCTCCGCGCATAAAGGATATGCATTTAGAGACAAATTCGTCCACATCTATACCTGCAGATGCATCCCCCAGGACTAAATGTGCGGTTTTTTTGTATGAGAGGTCGGCAGCGCTGACCAAGAGACGTGAGTCGATCGTAGCGTCCGAGGTCTGCTTAACTTCTTGAAAGTATTCGTTGGCTTTTTGGATGGTGTCCCGAATGCCATGATTGCCAGGTTGCATATACTCGCTCCTAGAATCTACACCATCGATAAGAAAATGAAAATAAAGTCGTGTGCGGTGAGACCCTACCGTGTAGCTCCCGCGTCAAGTCCCTGAGTCCTTTCCTGACTCGCCTTCGTTCTTTTTCATCCTGATCTGGGTCGTAAAATTGTTTAACGCGCTCCTGTTGCGATAGGGTTATCTGCGACTGGCTGCCGCTCTGAATATTGGACGCTCTATTTGATAATCGCTGGCGCTTTGCATTGGCGCCGGAGGTCATGGTCTGAGCCTGGCTTCTTTTTTCAACACGTGCAGAATTTTGGCGATTTTCTTTATCAGATGAAGGCTCAGGCGATGAAGATTGACTTGGAAGCCTGCGGCTGTGTGAAATGCGTGCCATGCTTAGTGGCGGGACTGCGACGAAAGTACGTCAAACACAAGACGCGACAGGGGTTGGGCCGAAACAATGACAGGCCGGCGAGACAAAGAGATAATTCACCAGGAATAATTAGGGGGCTACTGTCACTTAGGTAAGAGAGGCATGGGGCAATTGGACCGCTAATAGTGGTCTCACCAGCAATCTCATCATCTATCAATCATTATTACTTTTGAACGGTGCCGCGCGCCAAACGCGTTGCGAAAAATATAATCACGTGAGGTCAGCTGACCCCGCGTCATCCGATAAGTTGCTCTTGACTCTTGGCCAATCAATAGGCTGCATTGCCATCTCCCCGGACGGAGCTCTTCTGTCCTTCTTTCACAGAGATAAATGTAATGAAGCACTCCAAGTGTCAATGAGGCCGGATTCGGAATCTCCGAGTCAATATGGAGGCCTTTACATTTGCTGTCTCCACCCAGGTGGACTTTCCGATTCAAATCAAAATGTAAGTGAAGCCGCAAACTTCAAACAGGACTGCTTTGTAATGGCAGATGTTGGGCTCCGAGTCAACTAATTCCTCGGCAGTGGCTCTTTGGAAGGGAAGCAGAAAGAAGTCCCCTTTTCTATACTCCTCAAGCGACCGGAATTGCGACACCTCGGTTCCGTGCAGAACCCCACATCCGATCTCTTCGTCACAGTACAGCTATGGTCAGACTCGAAACCGCTGGGGGTGCCTTTGCAAACCTCATATAGAACGTTCAAATCGGTCCGCGCCTGGAATGAATGGCTACAGATGCCTATGTCACTCAAGGATGCCCCGTACAAATGCCAGCTTGCGATAACCATTTGGGACTTGTCTCCATTTGGAGGTGAAGGTGCGCAAGGCCATTACGTTCCATTCGGTGGGACAACAATATCCCTGTTTGATGAAGAAGGTAAATTGAAGATGGGGAGGCAGAAGTGCAAAGTATATCGTCACAAGGCTGCCGATGGCTTCTCTTCGACAACTACCCCTTCGGTGCCATCAACGAAGCGACGGAAGACCAATGGTTCTGATCCGTTGGGCCCTTCGCCCGAGGAGATAGAGCTGGAACGAGTAGAGGTGCTGATCAAGAAGCACGAAATGGGGGAGATACCACGCATCGATTGGATGGACCAGATGGTCTTTCGTCAGCTAGAGAAGTTGAAACTTAATGCCGAAGAATCCGCAAGGAAGCGGGCCACCCTTTTAAAGTCGACGAAGCATAAATCCCGGGGGAAACATGGAGACGATGGAGATGATTCAGATGAGGGGGATTTAGACGACGAGAACTTCACTCTCTATGTCGAATTTCCACGCTTTGACCACCCCGTGGTCTGGTCTGACCACGAGTATCCTCCTCCCCCGGTCTCGTCGTACCCCCACAATGCACCTGCCAACCCTAGTTCTGCATTGAAACCTGCACCGGAGGTTCGTTTTGGCCCCGGAATCGAAGGTGCTGATGGAGAGGGGGTGATCAGAATATATGACCCTGAAGTTGGGCAGACAGGCAATCCATGTGAAGACAAACACAGAAGACTCATTCGTAGTCACCGTACCGGCATCATGGACAGAGACTTGAAACCAAATCCAAAAATCCGGGATGAACTAAATGCCATACTGTCGTACGAGCCGACGCAAGACCTCACAGCCGAGGAAAAGGACCTTGTTTGGCGCTTCAGGTACTATCTAACTCGTGAGAAACGAGCGTTGACCAAGTTTGTTAAGTCGATCAATTGGCGTGATGCCGGTGAATCACATCAAGCAGTGGAAATTCTCCCTAAGTGGACCGAAATCGATGTCGATGATGCTTTGGAGCTCCTTGGGCCAACGTTTGATAACCCAGCAGTCCGTTCTTATGCAGTTGAAAGGCTTCGGAAGGCCGACGATGAAGAGCTTCTCCTTTACCTCCTTCAGCTGGTACAGGCGCTAAAATACGAGGAAAATTCCAACAATGACACAGAGGATGCCGCCCATGATTCGTCACTGGCTAATTTCCTGATCACTCGTGCTGCAAATAATTTCAAGCTCGGAAGTTATTTCCATTGGTATCTAATGGTTGAATGCGATGACACCAGCCCCGGAACCCTATCCGCGCAGCGCAGACTCTTCGCTCGGGTAGAATACTATTTTATGACTGATTTGGAACAAGTGCATCCTGAGCATCGAAAGACGCTGTTACGTCAGGGTGAGCTGGTTGCCGTGCTCTCTAAGGTCGCCAAGGATCTCAGGTTCTCGCGAGATAGCCGGCCACTGAAGATTGAGAAACTCAAAAAGTACTTGAAAGACCCTAAAAATGAGCTTGTGCACATTGAGCCTCCATTGCCGCTGCCCTTAGATCCAGAAATATCAGTCACAGGCTGTTTTCCGGACGAGTCCAATGTCTTTAAATCTACCCTGTCTCCTCTCCTCATCACCTTCAAGACATCGGAAGGGCAGAAGTATCCAATCCTGTTCAAAGTCGGCGATGATCTTCGCCAGGACCAGCTCGTTATACAGATAATCATTCTAATGGACCGTCTCCTGCAAAAGGAGAATTTGGATCTTAAGCTGACACCCTATCGAATCCTTGCCACCAATGCTACGGCAGGCGCTGTCCAATTCATTCCATCAGCATCCTTGTCTGCAATCTCAGCCAAGCACCGGTCAGTCCTTGCATATCTCCAAGCAAACAACCCTGATGAGAACGAACCACTTGGTGTCCGAAAGGAGACCATGGATACCTACATTAAATCCTGTGCCGGATACTGCGTGATTACATACCTCCTCGGCGTCGGCGACAGACATCTTGAGAATCTTCTCCTCGCCCCCGATGGCCATTTCTTCCACGCCGACTTCGGTTTCATCCTAGGCCGAGACCCCAAACCATTCGCTCCAATGATGAAGCTCTGCAAAGAAATGGTGGAAGGAATGGGCGGCACCACGTCTCCTCATTACCTCCAATTCAAGCAATACTGCTTCACCGCGTACACTACGCTGCGCAAGTCGGCAAACCTTATTCTCAACCTGTTCAGTCTAATGGTCGACGCCAATATCCCCGATATCCGCGTTGAGCCGGATAAGGCGGTACTCAAGGTCAAAGAGAGGTTTCATCTGGAGATGACGGAAGAGGAGGCTATTCGTCATTTTGAGCAACTCATCGGTGACAGCGTCAATGCTATATTCGGTGTGGTTATTGATCGTCTTCATGAGTTTGTTCAGGGCTGGAGAGCATGATGTATTATTGATAACTGGCGAGTGCTCGCTAGAGATTCGAATCTATTTGCCGCTTTGTTCGACTTTGGGCTACTGACACAGGCATTGGCGCTATTCGTTGTGTGTATTGGGTATGATTAGGAGTCAGGAAATGGGATCGGCGCAGGTCTTGTCTATAGGAGATACCCTAGTCGACTTGGGATAATATTTACTGTCAAGATAACTATTTATAGATCTATTATAGAACGTTCAAATGACTGAACTCTGTCCGTCTCCATCATTAATCATTTAACCTTCAGCCGAACGACATCAACACCCCTTGATCGACCGACCCAATTCCTCGTCTTGTCGCGTCCGATACTCCAGCTCTACCCACTCCTGCCCAGAGTCACTCCGATCCGCAATATCAACCACACCAGGATGAGATGTAGATCTAGATATCACAGCCGGCGACCCAGGATGCGAACCCGATGGCCTACTTTCGAGTTCATCTACCTGGGAGGAAAAAATACCATCTGTCTCGGTACCCTGGCCGGCACGACCGGTGATGTCATCGCCGCTAAGCTCATCCTTCTTTGCCTCTGCATCCTCATCATCCTCAGGTGTGCCTTCTCGGCAAGCCCAGGCATCGACGAAGCGGAGGACCTCGCGCGGCCACCAGTTTTTCATTACTAGCAGGCGAAAGGGGACAAGGGCAACGATTATAACGGGAAAAGCAGGAGCACCTCTTGTCAGGGTGACGATGAAGATAGCCACTGTGATCACGATCTGTAGGATAGTGTATAGGTGGATGGGGATGTAGGAGGGGGGTGGTGGGGTGCTGTTGTCATTAAGGTCGGCATCGTCGGGTTTCTTCGCAAGAGAAGATGGTAGAGGCGGAAGTTCAGATGGCGGAGTAAGAAGGTAAAAGGTTCGGTATAATATAGGGCTGTGTTTAGATGAGTTATATCTCCTCTGACAATAAGTGGGAAAGGTATGCACTTACTTGACCGATAAACTCTGCTCGCCCATGAACATGAATAGTCCGGCAAGAACACTCGTCGGCGTTAAGCCGAGGACTTTCATGAAAGGCGGACTGACGAAAAGGAGGATGGCCCCTGCGTGCAAAAAAGTGGACCAGCGCTGTTCGTAAACGCGCTTGACTTCGTGCGTCTCGACTTTCTCTTCGCCATCTATAATGACGGTGCGCTGTTCTCGCTCCGAATGCATTAGTGATTCGGAGTGTAGGGGAGCCTGGGGCAAAAGACCGTTGGCGGGCGGTATGCCCAGGATCCCGCAGAGAGCCGTTGTTGTGCCCAGCAGGATGATATCCCATGCGAAGCCGCCGGGTTTGCGGGTGCCGTATCTGTCGATTGTGCATATGATGGAGCTTACTTCGTGGTCGAAAAAGAAGAGGATAGTGATTATGATTCCTGGCACTATGGCGGCGAAGACCCATCCGACGGGTAAGGTCCAGAACTCAACGAAGAACTTGTCACGGTCTGGTGATGTGGGTTTGAAGGAGTTGCTGACGGGAAGAGTCATCTTGTCAAGGTGTGCTAATTCGCCGATATGGGGCATGGCGATGAAGACAATGATGGATATTGCGGCGGCGTACTCTGTGAGCCCCATTCGGATGTATCGATGGAATAAAGGCTTCCAACTCTCAGCTGTGGATAGAAAGATGGCGAGGAGCATGGTTCCGACAGCACCGATTACAGCGTATAGGAAAGCGGCGAACGAGAGGGTGTCATGTGCTCTTTCAAGCTCCTGGATGGCCTTGTGGAAATAGATGATGCTGTTCAGGAGAGAAAAGATTTCTGTGGCGAATGTTGTCACATAGCGCATAGTCCAGTCGTGTGCATTGATTATGGCTAGAATATAATGCAACCAGGCCGCATGAATCAAGGACCACGCCATGAAAGGGAGGAAGGGTACCTGTGATTGCTATTAAATACTGCTGAGGTGAAATGCGAGTGGTGTATTTGCTTCTTTAAGGAAATACCTTGAAAACTTCGTCACACAATGCATAGATATTCTCTGCCAGTACAGAGAAGGGACCAGTAACACCAAGGATTGTCAGAGGCTGAATAGAGAACCTGAAATCGATTAGCTTTAACAATATATGTTATTTTCCCGGACAACGTACAAAGAGAAGATGATTCCACATAGTCCCGTACTAAAAACAACCTCAATCGTTCCCCAAGTCTTGCCAGTCAAGACATACAAGTCACTGGCAAAAGTAATCCCCGGGAGAAGGTTAGTGAAGAATACATATACCGCGCTAGCGAAGATCAATTGGTTAAATATAGTCCAGTCCGAAACATATCGGCGGCGCAGGTTGATGATATCCTGCTTCACCAATCGAAAAGGACGCAGAGGCCCACCGGCCGATACAGAGCCCCGTAAGACTCGAAATGCCTTTGGCGTATGCTTTGAGGGGGTTATAATGGAATGTGTATCATCTCTTTCCTCAACCCCCGACTCATGAATGCCACTTTGTTCTCGCACATCCCGCCGTCTTAGAGGTCTGTGGCGAAGGGAAGAGGTTCGAGTAGAGCGGGGCCGAAAGGCTGAAATCAAGGACATTTATTGACTTGACACTGAATACAAGAATTGTTATCGCATTCCCAGTTCTTTGGTCAAGTAAATTATGAAGCGACTTGCTTCTGCTGTAAATATGGAGACTTGATCAAGAGTCGGTGGGGACGGGGACGTTGAACTGGTGGACATAAATTTATAGTCACTGGATTGATACGTAAGCCAATGAGGGGTGATTTCTTGTCGACTAAAATTGACTTCATGCCAAGCCAAAATCAGAATAAATTAACACTCATATAGTACCTATATCGCTAATACATTGCTTCTAACGAAAATACTAGCGGATGCATGATAGTCCGTAAAAGAAGGGTAACATAGTCGGAATTAGTTCAACGGTCAACCATCTTACAGCTTGGCTGAGTCAACAAGTCCCTGCTGCTGCAACCACTCTGTGACAAAAGCATTGACCTCCGCTGGCTTCTGCCACAGAGCCCAATGCCCTGCCTCGACTTCTTTCACGCTGAGGTTTGGTACAAAGGGTACCATGGCTTTGGCCATCTCAGGGTTAACCACAAGGTCAGCAAGCGCGTGAACATAAAGCACGGGGCACTTGATTGAGATCGCCTCTTTGCCCTGGGCCAAGAGGGACTGCTCGTCGGTCCAGCTCTGCTGGCGAATACGGTAGTAGTTGCCTACACGTTCATTAGCTTTTCTCTATTCCTTATAGAATGGAAGGGGATGGATGCTCATACAAGGTCCTTGGAGCCCATTTCTCGAGTACTCCTCCACATAATACTGCAGTTCTTCTTCACTGAGCAATCTTGTGTGACCCAGCTTAGTAGCCACCTCGAAGTCGAAACCGCGGGTTGAGTCCATTGCAAATTTGCCTTCAGGAGTGGCCCCACCGTACAGGCCATTGAGGAAAGCACGGATACCTTTCTTATCTTGAGTATGGGACTCAACCACGCCTTCTGCGCTGCCGAATTGCAGCTGGTACCCAACTGTGGGGACGATCTTGGCGAGATCAGCCGTATCGATGTATTTCGGTGACGGAGGGAGATATGGGACAACAAAGAGAATGAGATGGGTGATGAAAGAAGGGTGGTAGAGAGCAAAACGGGAGGCAATCACCGAGCCCCTTACTCTGAGGATTAGATGTGTTCTCATAAAGCATCCAGCCCGGAGAGAGTGAGAACATACCAGTCATGACCGGCGAGAACGATATTCTGGCAGCCGAGTTGCTTTCCAAGTTCAGCCAAATCATCGGCATGCGACTTGTAGGAATAGGCGTCGAGAGAGTCAGTTGGTGCATCCTGGACGAATCAGATTAACAAGAGCCCAGAACAAAGAGTACAGCGCATCCAATCATTCGGGACTTACTGATCGTCCGTATCCGATACAGTCAACAGCAACGACGCGGAAGCCAAATTTGAGAAAGAGAGGAATCTGGTATCTCCAGCCCATGGACAAATCTGGGAAACCGTGAATCTGTATTGCACGGGTCAGCTACCGGTGGCCCCATTGGCCCAGTTCAACGACATACCAAGAAGACGGTGCGAGTAAAGCCGCCCTCAGGCTCGGCGAGGAGATATCCTATCCAATCAAGTTAGTGAGGCCTTCTCCGGACGTCGGGGGAAGCAAGAGGCCACACCGTATGTCTTGGCATTGATGGTGGCAGAACAGCGCCGGATCCGAGGGTCGTTGACGACGTTGATTTTGTCAAGGGTAGTAGAGGAAGACATGTTGCTACGATCGAGGAATAACACACCGTAACAATCGGCAATGGCTCATGAGGGGTTCGGCTGCATTAAGTACTAGTGAAATCCGCCTCCGCGGGCTCCATGAGAAGGCACCATCATTCGCACAACGGCCATCGTTTCAAGAGTGGATCTAGGATGATCTGAACCTTCTTCCTTTGCAATAAATTATGTTTATGTGATCTTATGTGTTCTGCTAAAAGTGGGGCATTGCGGCGGAGTGGATCATCACAGTAGGTGGATATCATGATTAGTGATGTGAATATCTCCGAGATCAATTCTGTGGCAGACGCTCAGATGGTGATTTGACATGAGTGACTGGGAGCCAATATTGTATTCCTGGGCCCGGGCGAGTTAGTCCTACTCCCAGGATACTCTATGGTAACAACAGGGATCAGTAATGATTGCTGTCGAGTTGGGGTAAAGAATGAGCCGAGGTATTTTCCAGAATCCGTTCAAAGTCTTAGTAACTTTAACCTAGGCAACGTACCACTCTTCCGGACAGTACATCTCCTCTTCTCATCTTACTTTAAGGGTGTCTCAGCTACCTATATGTGCATAAAGTTATCCCTTGCAGCTGTCACCAATGACCCACCTGCAGGAGGAACAATATGCAGCATAACTACTCCGACAAGTAGAGGTCTCAGACCAAACCAGACACCTCAGTTCTACCTAGCCGCTCAGGTTGCCTTTGGGGGTTGTTATTAACCCGCATACTAAAAGGTTTTGGTAAGTTGTCGAATCATGACTATGTCATTCTGGGGAGTGACTAGAGAAAAGCATCCCGATATTGGCTTTAGATGCGAGTCGAAGTATACGCCGAGGTTCCACCGAGCCATTCTATATACAGTTATCATGAGATGAGTTTTCTGTATGGAGTCGGAGCTATATACCCTTCAAGCTGACGCCACATTTCACACATACAGCAACACCAACAACATCAAAGTATAACAGACCTTTATTCTGGCTTGGCCTTTCTTGTGTTGAAGACCCAGACATAGACGAATGGGTAAAGAGTTTCCGGAATGAGAGTCAATACAATGGTCCAAATACTCCAAGCTGACCCCACATACGCCCAGTTTTGGGGGACGTTTAGATAACGCCAGAAAAAGACGCCATATGCCGTGAAACATCCCAGATATCGAGTAAGCCTAAGGCATTCAGCAAAAGATCTCTGCGCTACCATGTTCAGGAATGGTACGTACCACATTTCAAGGGAGTGGCCGCTCGTATCATGGTTCTTCCACAGGCTGTACAAGCACAGCCAACCAATGGGAAATTGCAGGATAATGCCAGTCCAGTACGCCGTGATCTGTTCTCGCTCATCGGGGTAAACCTTGGCCAGCCACCAGAGGAATAATACCCCAGCTAAAACGCCGCAGATCATATTCCGAAAAAGCCGCTTTCTTTGGTCCGGACTGTGGGCATGCTGAATTGCGATTGCTGTGAAACCGAGGTCGAATTCGAACCAAACAAGAAAAGCAAGCTTTTCAAACCACGTAGACGTTGTGGTAAACGCATAGTATATCTCATATGCCATGGTCAAGCAGCTGGGGTAACGTTTTAGGGTATATACTCTCACCTCTATGATAGTTTATGACTTACAGGTATTGTATGCCCCCGTAGTTCGCTCCTGGATATGTCTTGTCTTTGTATGTTCGGAGCATGCAAAAGAAGTAGCACATAGCATATAGCACCCCGCATGCCACGATAAGGCCATCCTGAATGAAGAGATAACTTTCCGGAGGATCATGTTGGAGGTCGGCGGGTTGAACGATAAGATGCCCAACTCGGCGGGCTAGCTTGAAATCCGACATTACGAGAAGTTCTAAAACTCAATGATGCCAAACTTCACTACAAGGGTATCGAGATCTATGTTAAGGTTTTGACAATGTGAAGTGGCATCAACGTTTAGATATACTTTTTCCCCCCCATACTGTGGCAGTGATGGCCCAGTGGAGCGCAAAACGTGGAATGACGTCAGCTCCACACCCTTCTGGACCAGTTGGATGGTGCCGGATAAGTTTTCTTAGACATCTTGGTGAACACCCTACCTTATCTTACGTGGATTCAGTGTATTCGATGGTCACTTGGACCTAGTATGGGCCCCTCTAGCCTCTGCTTGATACCTGAGGCATCCAGTTCAAGTCAGCTCAATAGCCAATCATGCTACGGTACATAAATATAGTAAAGCAAGAGTCCCGCCTCCCTGACCGCCCGTTCATTTGAGACATACTGCCGGGAATGATATCAAACTGTCTTGTTTCTCTCGACGGTTTCTATTTCGCAATTGACCCTCAATAATGTGTGAAAGAACAGCTTGTACACAATCATATCACCCAACCGCTAATAATATCTATCAGACTATTGTAGGATGGCAGCCAAATTTATTCCCCGACAGGCCTTCCCTAGTTATACGTCCATCCCAAGGTCGTATTTCCTGGGTCACCATCGGGCAGGTCTGAAAAAGATGCAGAATATGCTCTCCTCCATTGACTACGTCGTTGAGTGCCGCGATTATAGAGTACCAGTTACATCTATCAATCCCATGTTTGAAGAAGCCTTGGGGAAAACCAGACGATTAATAGTATATACAAAGAGGGATCTAGGTGCGGAATCAGGGTCACCAGCCCAGCAACAGGTACGTTAAAATTCTAAATGGTTCAGGTCTATACTACATAGGGTTATGCTTATACTGCCACTTCTTTGTATAGGCAGAGAAAAGAGTTCAGGGTTTCGATAAGAATAGCGCTGTATTCTTTGTTAGTTCCTCGTCCCGCCCGGATGTGAGTTCTATATTGAAACATTTACGAAATGATGCCGAAGGACCCGACAAACTCGTGGGGTGTCGGGTCATGGTTGTCGGAATGCCAAATGTCGGCAAATCGACGTTAATCAATAATCTGCGAAATCAGGGTGTGCGCAAAGCTAAGGCTGTGCAGACAGGCGGCCAACCTGGTATTACGAGGAAAATCGGAACTCCCGTCAAGATTATCGAGAGAGAGAACGGCTCTCATGTTTATGTGCTAGACACGCCCGGTGTCTTTATGCCATACGTACCAGATGCAGAAAAAATGCTGAAACTGGCACTTTGTGGTTGCGTCAAGGACTCCGTGATCTCGCCCGTCACATTAGCAGACTATCTGTTATACCATATAAATTTGCATAATACCCAAGTATATGAGCGTTGGTCCCCGCCAACTAATGAAATTATGCCTCTTCTAAACGATTTTGCCCGTCACACCGGACTGCTTGCCAAGGGTGGTATTCCAAACACTGACCTTGCGGCGTTGCATTTTATCCAAAAATGGCGCGCAGGTGGCTTGGGGAAGTTCATCCTGGATGACCTGCAAGCAGAGGAGCGTCATCGTCAAGAAGGCACGAAGGATGCAGTGGGCACCAGCATGTCCCAAGCGCGCAAGGCCGAAAGGATGGCAAGGAAACACCCCCAGAAACTGTAAATAGAATAAATATGTCCATTGTACAATAGAATGCATCTTGTTGGTATCATCAGTTGAGCTTTTTTGCTTCTCCTCAAATGCGTAAAAAGGAAAGCCAGGGATCCGAAAGTGGAGCGAATACACATATGACCAAACACAATATGAAATGACACCCAGAACGCCGTATGAAATAAAAAGTTTGAACAAAAAAAAGGTTGAGGACGCCTGTACACCAGTCCATGCACACCATCCATCTCAAGTGATTTTCTCCAACAGCCTTCTCCTCCGCCGGTCAACAAGTTCCTCCTGTACCTCCTCCAGAGTCGGCAATCTCCATTCCACGCCGTCACCGGCGTCACCAGGCAATGGCTCCCACCCGTCCTCAACGTCATCTTCCTTCTTCTCACGGAGACGCTCAGCAGCCTCCTTCTCCTTCTGCTTCTCATAGGCTAACAGCGTCCCATCCTCCTCATCCAGGCCATAGCCGAAATAGTTCGCATCGACCTTCCTCGTCGCGATATCCCCACCTCGACCACGGCTCTCCTCGCCCTCCTCTTCCGCAGGCTTACGACCACGTCGAGCCGCAGCCTCAAACATCTCCTTGACACCAGGCAGCTCCCTCGCGCGTCCAAAATATCGATACCCCTTCCCACCACCGGGAATCTCCCTCCCCTCATCATCATACACCCGCCCCGAACCACGCATATAATTCGGTCCGCCCAAGTTCCGAATCTGCATCTCCCAGATCCACTTCTCGCGCATCAGCTTGTTGATCTCATCGTTCAGGTCCCGGATCTGGTAGTCACTCAAGCTCGGCTCTTGGATGCGAGAAACCTTGCGCGAAATCTCCTTGAGCACCTGCCCACGCCATTTTTCACACATGGGGATCGAGTCCACCGACGTGATCGCCTTCGGACGCCGCGTGCGACCGATATCGATGATTCCGAGATCCGCGGCCTGCTGCGCCCGGAAGCGGAAGAGCATCGACTGGGCTTTTTCGCTGTTTCGCGCCTGTTGCAGGGTTAAAGCCTGGTTAGCGGGTGTGGTGGAACTTTACATAGGCGCATCTTGGGAGAGGCTGAGGGCTTGTTTTCTGGCGTTAGGGGGGGGTGGAAAACTTACCATGGTGAGTAGCTGCGCGAGTCGATCTCAATGCAAGTTTGGAGGGGGCAAGAGATTGGGGGGGTGGGAAGAATTATGCCCTCATGTCATGGGCAAAGTAACTTGATCCGAGCTTAGGTGGGCTCGGGAAACGTTTGGGTTCAAGCGAGCGCTAGCCGGTTGTGATTTAGGCGCGCGCCTAAAGTATCCGTTGTCAGCCAATCATACTGGGTTTTGGCGTATACACTGGGTTGACTTCAGATCCCAGAAGTGCTGTTTTTAATCGCAAGTTGTGTATTATAAGGGGACATGGATAATACTAGCTTTGTGACCCTTCAAGTGCAGACGGAAAATATCAAGTCTTTGGAGACCCTTACCTCGTAGCGCTTGACTACCAGTAGAGAAATCGTCGATATATCTTTATCTTCCATGCTTGCCGCGGAG